AGCTGACAACTACAATTGCATACAGAAAAGTCGCCGCGTGTAAATGAAACGAGCAACACCAGAAGGCAATATGAAAAATCGCGCCGACAAAAGTTTTCGTGTATAAACACAGGCTTAGGAAATTTACTATTTTATTATTATATCGCACGTTCAATAATATAGAGATGTAACTCAAAATTTACGTTTTTGGAGATTAATAAGCCTGATAAGTAGAATATGCTAAGCGAAGATATGTATATTTCGATCTGTATTTTGGTATACCAACTGTATGAATTGATCAAACTTTGAATGCGTTTTCACACAAAATTGAAATTTAAAAATAGTTCTGTACATTGCTAAGCGTGCGATATGTTGGAGTAGTAACAACGCTAATTTTTATGCCATTATATGGAGGGCAGTTTGTTTTTATTTTTATTTATATTCCTATAGTCCAGCGAATAAAGAAGTTCCAAAATCTTGTAACGGTCCTTTTTACGAAAAAACCTGGTTGCCGAGTTTGTAGCTTAGAATATTAAACAAAGGATTTAAAAAAAAACTGCATACAAAAAACAAATTCGGCCATTCGTTTTTAGAATTCCAAACACGATCATTGCAAATACAGCCATTTTATTTTTGGTGTTTTCGTTTTTACCAAAAAGTGTCGCATTTTGACTGCTACTTCCTTTTGTCGTGTTCGATTCTAAAATAAAGGCAAACGGTGAGGAAATGTTGTGTTCGTTTTATAAAATGTTACAGGAGTAAGACAAAAAATGCACATTCTTCTCTGCCCTTTTAAGCTTTTCCAGGGGGGATGAGCGCACTGAAAACCAGACGGTTGCTCAAAACGGCAATATTATGAAATGTATGGGCTAGACAAGGACTAGAAGACAAAAACATGCCCTTTTACAGGGTTGAATTTAACATAAAACCCATTTGGCACCCTGAAAGGGCAACATTTTTTCAAAGAAACGAAATCACTATTAGATACCTGCATGCATTTTTCATCAAGGACTCTTTTCCTGCAACTTAAATAAGAAATGCGAATATGACACCCAACATCTCTACATTTTTCATGTTTTCGATGTCTTGGAGAGGGAACACTAGGTGTTGTATACTGTCGTCTAGTTGTATATTGTTGAAGTTTCACAACTATGCCCTACAAGCCAGCAGCTCATCAAAAGTGGAGAAAATATGAAGCCATTGATCGATTTTAGAGAGACTTCGTAAAGAGGGTTTTTGGGCTCGCATATTTGGAAAATTCAAAATGGCGGATACAATACGACGGATGATTTCTAAGGACATGCGACCTGCAATACTACGTACTAGACCCACCTAGCGACATGGATTTCGAGGCAAACGGACCTCAGATTCGGATTCAGTGGATCGAAATACATACCGGTAGATGGGTCTGGTTAAAAGCACACAGAACTTTTTTTGTGTGCCTTATTAGATAGTCTAGTCCAGGGATGGGCAGATTTTTGGCTCTTAAAGTAGTCAAAGAGTTAGCAAGTACTACTCAAGATGTAAATCAGTTCTCAGGATAAAGGGGGTGTAAAAAATACATTAAAAGCGTCATATATATTAGTAATAGGTTGGAGTACAAGACATTTTAATGCGCTCTTCTTCCCCCTTCATGCTGACTCTTGATGTTACCCCTCATCAAGCACCTAAATGTGCCAGGCCGGCTCCTAAGTGCAAAAGGCTCCTGGGAGCCACTTTGCCCATCCCTGGTCTAGTCCATTCAATCAATTTCAAAACTTTATTTTGGACATTTTTCGCCCCGTTTAGATTAGCTGCTAGCCTATAGTGCTATGGTGTGAAAATACAGCCCTCAACAATACGACAGTATGCAACACATTGTGAGCTTCCTAATCGTTATTAAAGAATACCTTGA